TCGAAGATGTCGTTGACGAACGAGTTCATGATGCCCATGGCCTTGGACGAGATGCCCGTGTCGGGGTGCACCTGCTTCAGCACCTTGTACACGTACACCGAGTAGCTCTCCTTGCGGCTGCGCTTGCGCTTCTTGCCGTCCTTCTTCTGCGCCTTGGTCACCGCCTTCTTGGAGCCCTTCTTCGGGGCCGGAGCCGACTTGGCGGGTTCAGGCATTTTAAAGCCTCAGAACACACGAAGTGAAATGAAGGTAGAAAGCGAATCTCTGCTACTTATAGAGCTTTTATGCTAATGAAGGATGCAGACAGCGTCTTAGTTCATTGGAAGACAAGCAGCAAGGCAGTCATCCATGGGCCGAACTATGCAAATGAGGTATGGAAATAGAGCTTTTCTATTGGCTACTTGACTGAGTCTTGTTACTAGCCAATCAGACAACCGGACTTACTCCCCAGGAAATGCCTATAAAAGCAGCGACGTTTCTACCTACTTCACTGTTAGGTCTGTCTTGCCAGACGAATAGTGTTCTTGTCTTGGCACTCCCATTCCGAGTCTGTGATGTCCGGACGCGGCAAGCAAGGCGGCAAGGCCCGCGCCAAGGCCAAGTCCCGCTCGTCGCGGGCCGGCCTGCAGTTCCCGGTGGGCCGCGTGCACCGCCTGCTCCGCAAGGGCAACTACGCCGAGCGGGTCGGCGCCGGCGCGCCCGTCTACCTGGCTGCCGTGCTGGAGTACCTGACGGCCGAGATCCTGGAGCTGGCGGGCAACGCGGCGCGCGACAACAAGAAGACGCGCATCATCCCGCGCCACCTGCAGCTGGCCATCCGCAACGACGAGGAGCTCAACAAGCTGCTGGGCCGCGTCACCATCGCGCAGGGCGGCGTCCTGCCCAACATCCAGGCCGTGCTGCTGCCCAAGAAGACCGAGAGCCACCACAAGGCCAAGGGCAAGTAGGAGTCTAGCAGAGTGTGCGCCTCAAACCCCCTGTCCAAACCAAAAGGCTCTTTTCAGAGCCAACCACCACTTCTGAGAAAGAACTTAACACTCTTCTGAAACCTAGCTACAAATGACCTAAATGTAAGGAACACGAAATAACTAGCATCCTTTTTGATATGGCCAATTCTGGTAAAGGCCATACAATGCATATTTTGGTCAATTATAAAACCACTAAACCACCTTTATTTCCCCTCCCCACGAGCACACTGCTCTGGTTAATTAAGTAAATTTCTGTTCCAGCTAATGCATTAATTAAACCTGTTTTGTGTTTCTGGGTCTTTATCACCAGCAGAACCTGATGGTTCATTGGTAACGAAAAGCTTCCTAACACTTCAGAGCTACTCCTAGAGAAAAGCTCTTAATTACCGTCACTAGATCTCGGCACTCCACGCCTGCTGATTAAATTTAGCACAGTTTACATATTAAGTAGCCCAATCAGCCACTTGATTGCATCAGAGTAAGTTATTGATGTCATAACCGCTCGCTGGTACTGAGGAGTCTAACACTTAAGCTCCCCTCCCCGCACCACGCGGGGCAAAGTCAAGTTTTGGTGTTCCGGGCGGCCGCTGTGCCCGTCTTATTTGAAAACTGACTTTGTTCTGGGTCTCGGCACAGTCAGCAGAAGCAGATCTTGATGCAGTTACGAAACGCAACTTTTCTTAGACTAACCAACACATTATTCTGATAGGATTTTTTCCCCATGTTATCTGAAAAAGGGGAAAGGACTGAAATTTAAGGACACTTTAGGCTCTGACTTCACAGATTCTAGGTCCGATTCCTTTTCACTGGTGGAATCTTAACGTTTTGGTTGAAAACAGTAAACTTAGGGTGGAGTATAGCCATAATTTTTTCCTATAAAAATAGGAAACAAAAATAAAACCAAGCCTGGAAAACAAAACCGACTCAAATGAGGATTGGACTGGGAACCAATCAGGTTACTCCTGCGACAGCTCTGACCAATCAGGATGGGCTCATGAGTATAAAGTCTGGTCCCCACACCAACTCGGCAGTTGCTGGTTTTCGCAGCACAAGTGTCTGGCCATGGCTCGCACGAAGCAGACGGCCCGCAAGTCGACCGGCGGCAAGGCCCCGCGCAAGCAGCTGGCCACCAAGGCGGCCCGCAAGAGCGCGCCGGCCACCGGCGGCGTCAAGAAGCCGCACCGCTACCGGCCCGGCACGGTGGCCCTGCGCGAGATCCGGCGCTACCAGAAGTCCACCGAGCTGCTGATCCGCAAGCTGCCGTTCCA